TCCCTCCCTCCCTCCCTGCCGCTCGCCAGCACCGAACGAGGCGTTGAGGGACTGGAAATCCGCCAGACCGCCTCACCTGGAGCCCAGGCAAGGCTAACCTATTTATTTCATCAGCTGGCTCTACCCGTGGAAAGTTTAACAATAGAAGGCGGCAAAGTAATACCAGCTACAACAGCGCTCTGCTTTTCCTTTCCTTTTTCCGCTCCCCACCCCCAAATAAAAGATTTATCACGGTAGTTTTTCACTCTTTGCTCGCCACCTCAAGCTGACACTATTCCATTCATACGCTGCTTTTCCATTAACTTCGGAGACGGGAAGGGCTGCTTATTGGAAACATATATTCTCCCTCTTCCGATCCCTCCCTCCCAAAATACCATTTTTATCCCAGGAACAAACTTAGGGCTCTATAACGTTAAAGCTTATAATGCCATCCATGTGCTGTCCCAAATCAAATTCAGATGAAGGGGATTTCTGCACAGAAATGACACATCTAAAATAAGCGAACTTACCGTAGACTTGAAAAAATGCAAATCCGAAGAGCAGGAGTGGCTTCAGCAGACCCATTTTGACATATTAAAAACAATCCCGATCGCGCTTGGAAGACCAATTCCACAGAGATTAAAAAAAAAAAAATTAAAAAAAAAAAAAAAAAAAAAAAAAAAAAAAAAAAAAAAGAGGAAAAAAGAAAAAAAATATCCAAAGCCAGTAAGAGGTAGGTCCGAAAGTTTTCAGTTTCCTAGCAGCTACTTAAAGTGGAAAGGGAAATCTTCAATGCAGAAGCTGGAGATGCAAAGGTCTTGAATGTGACACTTTTAGATCCATTCAGATTAGAGAAGCAGCGAGTGAGCTCCAAGGCTTCTGCTTTGCACACACGCTCCTTCCTAAATTCCCACCAATCCAGCCCAAGCAGGGGAATTATTCAAGTGTGTCTACTAAGACTCTCTTTAGGATCCATGGCAATCCAAAAGCAAGCTCTTTCTTCGGAAGACAAGGAGAGACTGAGAAAGGACCTGATTCCTAGAAAGTGCTCCACAAACTTCCCGGCACTTTGCAGAAAAACCATTGGTTTGGTTCGGCTATTTCGCCTTCCTCTCGCCCTCCCCCTACCCCTTTCTCTCTCCCTTTCTCTCCCCAAATCAGTTCAAGCTGCAGAGTTTCTCACTTAACTTCCATAATAGGAACGCCCAGGCAATGTGCTACACGGGAGGGGAACGGCTTGCTTTCTCAGCATCCCCTCGAAAGAAAGAAAGAAAAAAAAAAAAAAGAAAGAAAGTCGTGTCCCCTACACCTCCCTCCTC